ACCTTTGCATAGTCAATAAAGCACAGGAAAACATCTTTCTGGTATTCTCTGCTTTCAGCCAAGATCCATTTGACATCAGCAATGTTATCCCTCATTCCACATACTTATCTGAATCAGGCCTGAACCTCTGGGAGTTCCCTGTCAATATACTGCTGCAACCATTTTTGGATTGTCTTTAGCAAAATTTTACTTCCATGAGATTTTAATGATATTGTCCAATGATTTCTGCATATAATTGGTCCCCTCTCTAAAATGGGCACAAATATGGATCTCTTTCAATCGGTTGGCCATTCAGCTTCCAAATTTCTTGGTATTGGTGAATGAGTGCCTTCAGTGCTGCTTCAGTTTGTTGAAAAATTTCAATTTGTATTCCATTAAATCCAATGCCTTGTTTTCTGCCAATGCCTTCAGTATCATCAGTTCTTGATCATAAGCCCCCTTTTCTTTTTTTGAAAAGTGACTCTGTATATTCCTTCCATAGTTGTGGATGTTTTTTCCTCATAGAATCCTTCAGTATTTCAAGTTGAAGCTTGAATTATTTCTTCATTTACATTCATTACACCTTGAGAACTACTGAGCATGTTCTTCCTTTTTGGTTTTCTATCTTCAGATTTTTACACATTTCATTATAATATTTGACTTTATCTTCTCAACCTGCCCTTTGAAATTTTCTTTTCATCTTTTACATTTGATTTTACTTCTCTACACTGGAGAGCAACTTTCAGAATCTCTTCTGACATTCATTTTGTTTTTTTTCCTTCTGTCTTGTCTTCTTAATGACCTATTGCTTTCTTCCTGTATGATGCTCTTGATGTCATCCCACAATTTTCCTTTGAGCATTAGTGTCTTATTCATCAATCTGTGGGATATAATGGGTTATATATTCACATGGGATGTGTTCAAGGTCCTATGTTTGCTCTTGTTAACATGTTTTAATTTTCTTAAACTTCAGTCTGAACCTGCATATCAGCAATATGCATATGACCACAGTCTACCTGTGGTCTTGTTTGGGCTTATGATATGGGGCTTTTCTATTGTCTTTTCCACAGATGCAGTCAAATTGATTTCTGTGTATTCCATCTGCTAAGGTATATAGTAGTCTTTTTTGTTTAAAAAACCGTATTTGCAATGAGTAAGTCATTGGTCATGAAAAATTCTATCATGTAATCTCCAGCATCATTTCTATCATTAAGGCCATATTTTCCAGCTACTAATCCTTATTCTTTGTTTCCAACTTTTGTATTCCAATCACTAGTTAATATCAATACATCTTGATTGCATGTTTGGTCAATTTCAGATTGAAGAACTTCATAAAATTCTTTAATTTCATCATCACTGGCTTTAGTTGTTGGTGCCTAAGCTTGAATAATAGTGGTATTAACTGGTCATTCTTTTACGTGTATGCATATTATCCTTTTACAGACTGCATTGTACTTCCAGATAGATTTTGAAGTTTTCTTTTTACTGATGAATGCAATGCCATTCCTCTTCAATTTGTCTTTCCCAGCGTAATAAACCATGTGATTGTCAGATTTAAAAGGATGAATACCAGTCCATTTCAGCTCACTAATACCTAGGACATCAATGTTTATGCATTCCATTTCATTTTTGATAGCTTTCAATTTTCCTAGATTCATGTTTCCTCATTTCTTGTTCTGATTATTAATAGATTTTTGTAACTGTTTCTCCTCATTTTGAGTTGTGCCTCATTAGCAAATGAAGGTCCTGAAAGTTTGATGCCATTCTTACCATCACAATTAACTCTACTTTGAGGAGGCAGATCTTCACAAGTCATATTTCAAGTGCTTTCCAACCTGAGGGGTTCATTTTCTGGCAATGTACCTGACAGTGTTCTGATACTCTTCATCATGTTTCCATATTTAATATTCTGGTGCTGACAGGGTTCCACTACTCTTCATAAGTTTTTCAATGATTAAGTATTTGGAAGTAATTGTCTCTCTTTCTCTTTAATCTGTCTTAGTATGGAAACTCAGCTGAAACCTATCCACCATGGTTGACCCTGCTGGTATTTAAAATACCAGTAGCATAGCTTCCAGAATCATAGCAAAACACATGTTACTACATATGACAAACTGACAGATGAATGGAGGCTCATGGAAGCAGCAGCCACAAAATCAAAGGATGCATTGCAATAGGAGACTCTATTGCACGAGATTTCTTTAAAGTTTTCTCAAGAGTAAACATAACAGTTTGAGGACTGAAATGTGCCTGACTCAAACCGTGTTTTTAGTAGCCACATATGCATGTGAAAGTTGGACAGTGAAGAAGTAAGGCCACAGAAGGGTTGATTCATTCGAATTATGGAGAAGAAAATTAAAAGTACCATGGGCTGCCATAACAACAAATAAATCTATGTTTGAAGAAGTGAAATCAGAGTGCTCCTTAGAAGCTAGAATGTCAAGACTTCATTTCTCATACTTAGAGCATATTAATCAGGAATAATCATACCTGGAGAAGAACATTATGCTTGGTAAAATGGATGGTCAGCACAAAAGGAGTTCCCAATGTGATGGCTTGACAGAGTGGCAGCAGCAATGAGTTCAAACATAACAATAATCATTAGGATGGTGCAGGACCGGGCTGTCTTTCTTTCTGTTGTGCATAGGGTTGCCATAAGTCAGAACGTACTCAAGGTCATCTAACAAATGCAACAGCGAAAATTGTTATGTTTCAGATAATCTTCTAAGTAATGGAATAATATAGTAAGCAAAGCAAATGAAATTCCTCCCTTTAGAGTTACATTTTAGTTAGAGATTATAAAGGTGTAGAATGGATACAAATAATAAATAAGTACTAAATATATATTGGAGTTCTGGTGTGTTATGTAGGATAAGCACTAGACAGCAAGTTTGGTTTGAATCACAAGTCCAACAGTTCAGACTCACCATCTGCTCCTCAGAAACCCTGTACAGTGTCATTATGAGTTGGTACCAACTCGACAGCACTTAACAACAACAACAAATAATGTCAAATGATACTAAGAGTTATGGCAAAAAATTTGATCAGAGAATTAAAGGCATTAAGAAATCAAATCAAGTGGATATCTAGGGGGAAAGTGTTTAATAATTATGGCTAATAATTTATTAGGCATTTGGTATGTGTCATATATTAAGCATTTTACATAGCTTAATATATGTGTCATAGGATTATATAGCATAGGTATAGATATATATCTGATGAAATATGACACATACCCTTTTGTGTAACTTCCTTCCTAACATATGCAACTTAAATCTAAAGCTCTGCTTCATGAACTGAGAATATTTGATTTATACTGTTGTAGTTGCCGTACAGTCAGCTCTGACTCACGGCGACCTTGTTTGTAACAGAATGGTGGTCCCGCACCATTGTCATGATAGTTGATGTGTTTGAGTTCATTGCTGTGGTTATTGTGTCAGTCTGTTCAACAAGGGTTTCCCTTTTATTCTCTGACCCTCTCCTTTACCAAACATGAATGATATCCTTTTCTAGAGATTGATCTTCCTAATTTGTGTCCAAAGTAAGTGAGCTTGTGTCTTGCCATCCTCCTTACTAAGAAATATTCTGGTTATGTTTCTTCTAAGACTGATTCCTTTGTTCTTCTGATCACGTACTGCCATCAAGCCTGTTCTGACCTATCGCAATCCTATAGAGCAGAGTTCCCTAGGGTTTCCAAGCCTAAATCTTGGAAGTAGGCAGCATCCTTTTTCTCCCAAGGAGTGAGTGGTGGGTTTGAAATGCTGACCTTGCAGTTAGCAGCACAACATGTAAAGCCCACTGTGCCACCAAGACTCCTGTGTTCTCCTGACACTTCTTGGTATATGCAATATTCTTTGTCAGCACACACTTCTAGTATGTCAGTTATTCTTGTGTCCTCCTTTTTCATTGTGCAGCTTTCTTGTGCAGATTAAGTAAAGAAAAGACCATGGCTTGGGTCAGGCACAACTTACTCATCAAAATGACATCGATGTTTTTAAAACTTTAAAGAGGTCTTCATAGCAGATTTGTCCAGCACAATATGTTGTTTGATTTCTTAATTGTTACTTGCACAGACATTAATATTTGATCCAAATAGAATGAAAGTACTGACAGCATCTGTTGTTGTTGTTAAGTGCCATTGAGTCAGTTCCAACTCATAGCAACCTTGTATAGGGTGTCCAAGAAGTGGCTGATGGGTTTGAACCACCAACCTTGCAGTTAGCAGCCCAAATCTTGTCCTACCACGCCACACCACAATTCTGACAACTTATATGTTGTTGTTGTTGTTAAGTGCCATCGAGCTGGTTTGACTCATAGAGATCCCTGTATAGAATTTCTGAGTAGTGGCTGGTGAGTTTGAACCATAGACTTTGTGGTTCAAACCGACCTTATGGTTGAGTGCTTATCCTACAGCACCACACAAGGACTCCAACAACTTCTATAGTAGAGACTAGCAAAATGTTATTTGATGGATCTCTACAAATAATTCACTGTCATAAATGTCATAGATTGGCTTTCCATTAGTGTTATTAGTTGGGAATAGATGGTGATTTAAGAACAGATTTTAATTGATTCTCATAAATTTTCAAAATAGTCATTTCTTGTCTTCTTTGTATTATTACTATATCATATCAATAAATAGGGCATTTATAATAAAGTCTAACTTAAGTTGAATTATCACAAATTCTTAATTTAAAATGTGGATGAAGTTTTACCAGGTATTTATATTCTAAAGGAAAAATTTAATGATCAATTAAGAAAACAGCCTGCTAAAACCTCAAAGAGGTCACTCATTACAAAATAAGAATCTTCTTCCTTTAAATTTTTGTGAATTAAGAAAATACATTTTCATTTGTGTGTGTGTGTTATGTGATTCAAAGATGCCGAACTGACTGCTCTATTGACTGTTGGCATTAAAGTTATCCTTACTGTTGGAAAGAGGAGCTTTGGGTTAATGAACAGGTCTGCTTCCTAGTAGCATATTGTGACTTTAGTGACCCTGTATAAATTTCTTTTTTCAGGTACCCCAATTATGAATTTATTAGTGATAACTCTATTTCTTGGTCTGCGGGGCTGCACAATCGATACACAGAAAATTCACTTCGGGGTGTGATCCTGGATATACACTTTCTTTCCCAGGCAGACTTCCTAGTGTGTACTTTTTCATCCCAGGTAAGTGGCAATAGGACATTTTCTAATGGCCAATATATTTAGGTCCTATTGGGTCAGGAAAATAGTAGGGAGTTTGTGTGTTTCTTTTATTTTAACCTTTCACTTACCTTTTTTTAAATGCTAGTTATCTTGACTCAGGTGCAGTTTTCCTGATGGCTAGTAATGATCTTGTCTGTGAAAGAATGGAAAGATTCTGTAGAATAGCTATTTCTGTGCACTGAATTTTAGTTGTTTATAAGCAGTGGTTCAATACCTCTCTACTAAAGCCAGTTATTAGAGGTGTTTAAAGTACTTGACTTGTTTACAGCATTTAATAGGAACAAGTAATTAATCTCACTTAATACTGTCTGATTCTGCACATACTCATACAACCACATAACCAGAATCTGTACATTTCTACACATTGGTGCACTGATACTGGAAGTTTAAACGTACAACATTTTGCCTCACTTGATTGCTTTATATAAAATAAGAAAAATAGTAAATGTAATTCTTTTCTAAGTATTAATACATTTCTCCGAAGCAGGAAACTATATATTAAATCTACACAACACCCGCAGTTATTCTTTGAATTTAATTGTTGCAGATAAATTATATGTATGGGCTTAGTGTGTGTGTGTTTTATGACTATTCCAATCAACCTTATATGCCCAGTGGAATAATCAGTATAATAATATTTATTGCAGATTTTATTCTGCTCTCTCATTTTTGCACATATTTTTGTTAGTTCATTCAACAAGCTATTAAATGATGATTTTATTCTCAGCATTATATTAGGTATAGAGCATAGTTCAAAGGAGAATGAAGATTCCTGGTCCAAAATCTAATAAGAAAAATACACATGAAATAACTAGAGGATATTGTTGTTGAATTTTCAGATTCTTTTATCTGCTTCTTCTCAAAACCTGGGCACACTTTTATCTTAGATCAGTTCGGCACTGTAGGATAAAGCATTGGACTACAAGGTCAGCTTGAATTGCAACGTCAGCAGCTCACACCCACCAGCCGCTCCTAGTATGGTCCTATAGATTAATGTGCTGGATTAGAAATTGGTTTGAACTGTATGGTCAGTGGTTCAAGCTCACCAGATGCTCCTCGGAAACCCTATACAGGGCTGCTGTGGGTCAGAACCAACTTGATGGCACTTAACAACAACAATTCTTTGTTATGTGGAGTCAACTGTAGAATGCTTAGTATACCTGACCTCTACCCATCTAAAAATAACAGCTAGTCATAAAACTCTATAAAATGAATTAAGTATGTATATGGTTGCGCATTTCCATTTCCATGTAGGTAAGTTCAAAGACTTAACATGAATGTACTCAGTTCTTTACTTGCCCTTTTCTATTGTTGTTAGGTACCATCAAGTCAATTCTAAAGTACAGTGACCCTGTGTACAACAGAAGGAAACCCTGCCCAGTCCTGCATGATCCTCACGTTCATTGCCATGTTTGAGCCCATTGTTGCAGCCACTGTGTCAGTCCATCACCATAAAGGGGCTTCCTCTTTTTTGCTGACTCCACTTTACCAAACATGATATCCTGATGACATGACCAAAGTACATGAGACAAAGTCTTGCCATCTTGCTTGTAAGGAGCATTCTGGCTATGCGTCTTCCAAGATCGATTTGTTCATTCTTCTGGCAGCCCAACATTGTAATTCAAAGGCATGAGTTCTTTGATTTTCCTTATTCATTGTCCAGCTTTCTCATTGGAAGCAACCATGGTCAGGCTCACCTTAGTCCTCTCAAAGTGATATAATAGCTCTTTTAACTGTTTGAAGAGACCTATTGCAACAGATTGCACAATACAATATATAATTTAATTTCTTGACTTCTGCTTCCATGGACATTGTGATAAGTTAAGATATTGTGCCCACTTAGCTGGACCTGGATTATTAGTGGTTTGGCTGTGAAGATGCAGGATGAGCTCTAATATAATGCAGTCACTCCTGTGATGTGATTTGATGTGATAACTCCTGATCTGATCGAACTATTCTGTGTTGTAAATCCTCACTTCCATGTTAATAGGAGTCCTGGTGTGGTGCTGTAGGATAAGCATTGGACTTCTAATTGCAAGCTCTGTACTTGACAACAACAACAACAACATCCTCTTCTGAATCTGGCTTGAATTTCTAGCAGTTCTCTGACAATTTACTGCTGAAACCACTTTTGGATTATCTTCAAAATTTTACTGCATGTGATATTAATGATATTGTTCAGTAATAGCCACATTTTATTGGGTTACCTTGCTTTGGAATGGGTTGGCCAGGTCGCTGTCTTCCACATTTCTTGGCATCAATAAGTGGTCATTCCTAGTGTTCCCTTTAACACTATTGGTTCTTAATCATATGATTGATCATAAACCAATTCTTTTTGGTATAGTGACTATATATTTCTTCCATCTTCTATTGATGCATAATTCAATATTATGAACATTTGTTGTTGTTAAGTGCTGTTGAGTAGGTTCTGACTCATAGTGACCCTGTATAGCGTTCCTGAGGAGCAGCTAGTAAGCTTGAACCACCAAGTCAAGGCTTGTATTTTTCCTTCAGCTCTTTCAACTTGAGAAATTCCAAGCATGTTCTTCCTTTTTGGTTTTTAGCTCCAGGTCTTTGCACATTTCTTTGAAGTAATTTACTTTGCCTTACAGGCCGCCTTTTGCAATCTTCTGTTCAGTTCTTTCCATCATCTCTTTCATTCACTTTAGCTACTTTCAAGAACAAGTTTCAAAGTCTTCTCTTATATACATTCTGACCTTGTCTTTCTTCCCTGTCTTTTAAATTACCTTTTGCTTTCTTCATGTATGAAGTTCTTGATGTCATCCCACAAGTTCAGTCACTAGAATTCAATGTGTCAAACTTATTCTTCAGATGGTCTCTGAATTCAGGTGAGAAATACTCAAAGTGCTACCTTGGTTCTTAGTGATTTGTTTTAATTTTCTTCAGCTTCAACTTGAACTTACACATGAGCAATTAAATATTTATTCTGCCTAATAACAGACAACCAAGAAAGAAGGGCTTTACAGTCTACTTCTGAAAAAATTTGCCAGTAAAAACCTTCCTTCTTCTTGGCTTCCTTAATAATACCATTAGACTCAATCTGGAAAGAAAAGTTGGCCTTGTGTCTTTTCTTTCTGTTGTTAAATTATGAACAAGGGGAACAGAATCTACAAAAAAAAAACAAAAACCCATACATACCTCATCTTTCTCCCACAGAGCAGCTGATGGGTTCAGACTACTGACCTTGTGGTTTGTTGTCTGCTGCTTATGCTGTGAGGCAATTGAAAATGCCATGGCGTGAGTCAGTCACACCTTAGTCCTCAAACTGATACGTTTGCTTTTAAGCACTTTAAAGAGATCTTGTGGAGCACATTTGCCTAATGGCAGTACGCCATTGATTGCTTCTTCCATGAACATTGATTGTGGATCCAAACAAATTGAAATCTTTGACAAATTCAATGATTTATCCATTTATGTTATATATTGGTCCTGTTATGAGGATCTTTGTTTTCTTTGCATTGAGGTATAATCTATACTGAAGGCTGTTGAAGGCTTTTGATCTTCAGCAGTATTTTAAGTCCTCTTTGCTTTCAGCAAGCAGGGTCATGTCATCTGCATATCACAGTTTGTTAATAAGTCTTCCTCCAATCCTGATGCCATGTTCTTTTCAGCTTCTTTGATTATTTGCTCAGCATACAGATTGAGTAAATATGTTGAAAGGATACAACCCCGGCGCATACCATTCACTATCTCTTTTTCTGTTATAACAACTGCCTCCTGGTCTATGTACAAGTTCCTCATGAGCACAATTAAGTATTCTAGACCACCCATTCTTCACAGTGTTCGCAAAATCAATAAAGTACAAGTAAACATTTTTCTAGTTTTCTCTGCTTTCAGCCAAGATCTGTCAGAGATCAGCAATGATATCCTTTGGTCCACGTCTTCTTCTGAATCTAGCTTGAATTTCTGACAGCTCCTTGTCAGGGTAGTGCTACAATAGTTTTTGAGTTATCTTTAGCAGAACTTTATGTGCATATGATATTAATGATATTGTTAGATTATTTCTAAATTCTGTTGGGTCACTTTTCTTTGGAATGGGCACAGATATGGGTTTCTTTCAGTCAGTTGGTAACTGTCTTAAAAGTTTCCTGGCATAGATGAGTGAGTGCATCCAGTGCTGCATCAGTTTGTTGAAATACTTAAATTTGTATTTCATCAATTCCTGGAGCCTTGTTTTTCACCGATGCCTTCAGTGCTGCTTAGACTTATTCCGTCAGTGACATCAGTTCATTATCATATGACAACTCTTGAAATGATAGAACATCAGTATTTTTAGGAGCAGTGTCTCTGTTTATTCATTCCATCTTCTTTTGATGTTTTCAGTGTCTTTCAATATTTTGCCAGTAATATTGCAAGTGGAGGCTTGAATTTTTTCTTCAATTCTTTCTACTTGAGAAATGCTGATTGTGTTTTCCTCTTTTGGTTTTCTAACTTCAGGTCTTTGCACATTTAATTATATTATTTGACTTTCTTGTCTCAAGCTGCCATTTGAAACTTTCTGTATAGCTCTTTTATTTCCTCATTTCTTCCAATCACTTTAGTTTCTCCATACTCAAGAGCAAGTTTCAGAGTCTCTTCTGACATCCATTTTGGTCTTTTATTTATTTATTTATTTTCTGTCTTTTTAAGGACATTTTGATTTCTTCATATGTTGTTGTTGTTGTCAGGTGCCATCGAGTCAGAACCGACTTATAGCAACCCCATGTACAGCAGAACGAAACAATGTCCGATCCTGGGCCAACCTCACTACTGCTGCCACACTTGATGCCATCAGTGATGCCACC